GGGGGACCGGGGTCAGGGGTTAGCCGGCGGCCTCTGAGTTTCGATGCGGGTCTCGCGGTGTGAGGGGGCAGCCTGGGGGCCCTTGCGGCCGTTGACGCCCCAGCAGGGTCTGGGATCCCGGAGGTCCTCGCGACCCTCAAGGGGCACCAAGCCGGGACGCGCAACGGGACTGATTCTTTTTTCTTTTCTTTCTTCACTAAGTCTTCGAACCGTCGGTGGGCAGCGTGGGCAAAGTTAAATTACCTGAGAAGCCTCTCCAAGAAAGAAAACCCAAATCACTCCCTCCTGCCCCCTAGATACCTTGATCCGCTTTGGGGTTCAGCCTCCCAGGTCTCCTAGCTCCCTCCCTCCCCTATCCCCACACAATACGCTGTATTTTAAATTATATTTTATTACATTTTCCCTTTCCCTCCTGCCGTTATACCAGGAGAACTTCCTGGGTCCCCATAAATCCTGGTGCATCCTGGTATTCTGTCCCCTCCTCCATGAAGCCCTCCTTGACCAGCCTCCCCAGATTCCACCAGGACCTGATATCCCGACTCCTGGACCTTTTTTGTTTCATTGTCCTGACTATCCAGATCTTTGCGTTGTGGTTTTGTCCCTCCAGCCAACTGGATCTGGCTATGTGGGAAATGAATGAATGACACATTCCGGGGAGGTGATGTCACATTTATCACTAAACACATCAGGGCCCACCAACTCTGTTGTCCTATTATTGCTTCTTTGGTGGCTCCAGTTTTTGCTTCTCTCCTTTCTGGGCCTTGCTCTTCTGTAAGGATGACAATAACAGCAGTAACAGTCCCCTGGGCCAGGCTCCTCCAGTCTTCAGAGGGAGTCCTTTATTTATGCCCCACCTCACCCAGGGGGGCCCAGCACAACTCCCCCCTCATTTTACAGATGGGGAAGCTCAGAGGCTAAGTCTCACCCAGGGGCAGGACCAGGGCCTGCATGGGTCACACTCATGTAGGTGGGTGTGGGGTCTAGGGCTGGAGGAAGACAGTGGCTCTGATCAGGCCATCCCTCTATGGCCATGTGTGGTTTCCACAGTGTGATTGTTGTCAGTGCCATAGGAGAGGCCTGTCAACTGGCAGATGGCATTGCTTGGGTCTGGTTCCCTTGGCCTCCAACCAGCCTGCCCCCATTCCAAACACATGCTGACTGCCTCCCCATCTCACTCCACTCCCCACCCCCCAGCCAGGAAGACCGTATGTGTGCCCCATAACCACAGCTGTGGCTTCATATGCATGTATTCCTTTAATCTTCACAACAGCCCGAGGAGGAAGGTTCTCTTTGTATCATCTCCATTTACAGATGGGGAAACTGAAGTTCAGAGAGGTTAGGGATGCCCCAAGGCCACACAGCTGGTGAGTGTCAGAGCATAGATTTGAATCAGGCAGGCTGGCTAGTCTGTGCTGGGCTTACCTGCCAGGCTCTGCCAAGGCCTCAGGGTCTCCAGTGCAGAGTTGGAGTTGCGCTCTGTGACCCATTCAATCAGTGAACCCCTCTGCCCCAGGAAACGTGGGGGTAACTGTAATGGTCACTGACTGGGGCTGCCTCCAGGGCACCATGACAAATGCAGAGCCAGGTGCTCAGGTTGTGGTGTGAGGGCTACTGAGTTTGGGGTGTCAGAGATGAGACTGGGGGACAGGTCAGCATGGGGATTAAGGAGGCTAACAACTGGGGAGATACCCTGACATGGGGTGAGTGTAGCCCTGACATGGAGGGAGTCTGCCCTTGTGCCCTTTGCCCTGGTGATTGGGCTCAAAGCTCTGGTTGCCCCATGGTGAGGCAGAAATTTTGCTCATAGAGCAGCGGTTCTCAACTTGTGGGTCGCGACCCCTTTGGGGGTCGAACAACCCTTTCACAGGGGTTGCCTAAGACCATCAAAAAACAAAAAGATATATATATATGTATTTTTAAGATTTTTATTGGGGAATTGGGGGAAGGGGAACAGACAAGTTGCTGTCGTTTTGTTCTTCAGTCTAGTTGTGGAGGACGTTGCTTCACTGGCCCAAGTTGGCACCATCATTGTGCTCTTCCCGGGCGAGGCAGATCAGTCGCCGGCTTCTGGACGGCCGCTCACTGTGGCTGCTGACCGCTCACGCTGGCTGCTGACTACACATGGTAGCCGATGGCAACCCACTGCCACAGGGGCTGCAGCCTACTCCGTCGCTGGCAACTCACAGCAGCCCAGCTCCAGGTTGAGCTGTTGTTTAGCATCTTAGCTGTAGAGGGTAGTGTCACTGGCCCTCATATGTGTGATCCGAACTGGGGCCTTCTGGCGTCCCAAGCCAGCTCTTAACCATCACGCCACTCGGCCGGCCCAACAAAAAGATATTTACATTACGATTCATAACAGTAGCAAAATTACAGTTATAGAGTAGCAACGAAAATAATTTTATGGTTGGGGGTCACCACAACATGAGGAACTGTATTAAAGGGTCGCGGCATTAGGAAGGTTGAGAACCGCTGTCATAGAGCAAAAGCTAGAACCAGAGGTAGTCTAGGAGTGCTGCCTCATGAAGGGCCCCCAGACTTGAGGGTGGTGCATGTGGACAAGGGGATCCAGGGACACTCAGAAGGCCTCTGAGCCTTGGGCAACCTGAGGTACTGATCTTGCCCCAAGAATAATTCTGGCAAGGTGATAGTATCCAGCCCAGTGGCCTTGATAACACCCAATGGGGCAACAGCAAAGAGGGAAATCAGGCTCCAGGTTGAGATGTAGTGAGGTGAACTGGGGCAGCTGAGAGCCCCTAGACCAGCAGACACCCCAAAGGCAGAGAGGGGTTTGCTGAGGCTTGAGAAGCATGTGGGATGGTGATCCCTGCTCCACCCACAGCAAGCC